GAGCACGTCCGAAAAGTGCTTAGCAAGCTGCAAGCCGCAGGGCTACAGGTGGACATCAAGAAGTGCGAGTTTGAAGTCAAGACAACCAAGTACCTTGGGTTCATTATCGAAGCAGGTAAAGGGATAAGCATGGATCTAGCTAAGGTAGCCGCAATCCGCGAGTGGGAGGCACCGAAGACAGTAAAGGGAGTAAGATCGTTCCTAGGGTTCGCGAACTTCTACCAAAGGTTCATTAAGAACTTCGCGCAGCTAGCCGCACCCCTCACTAGGCTTATAGGTGACGTCCCCTTCTAATAGGGATCTAAAGAGCAGTCAGCCTTTGAGAAGCTAAAGGAGATCTTCGTTACAGAGCCCACGCTGGCGGCGTTCGACCCAGATCGGGAGACAGTGCTCGAGTGCGATTCGAGCGGCTACGCGGTGGGCGGGGTGCTATCACAGTACGACGATGATGGAGTCTTACGGCCTTGCGCGTTCTTCTCGCGGAAGAATAGCGCGCACGAGTGCAACTACAAGATCCACGACAAGGAGTTGCTCGCGGTAGTACGATGCCTTAAGGAATGGGATTCTAAGCTGCGTTTAGTTGAGAAGTTTAAGGTGATTATAGATCACAAGAACTTGGAGTACTTCATGAAACCTCGCATGCTGAACGAGCGCCAGGTGAGATGGTCGCTTCTACTTGGTAGGTACAACCTAGAGCTGCTGTATTGGCCAGGCAAGCAGAATGTGAGAGCCGACGCGCTCTTGAGAAGAGAACAAGACCTGCCTGCAGGGGTAGAAGACGAGCGCTTGCAGAAGCGTTTCGTGCAAATATTTAAGCCAACAAACTCCTATTAGGAGATAGCAGAAGAAGAACTAGAAGAGGAACTAGAAGAAGCTATTTTAGTAATGGCCACGAAAACACGAAGCCAACGGCGGGAAAAAGAGGCTGTTGCCCTAGCTAAAGAAGAACTAGGCCAACTACCTCCTAGAGAACTAGACGAAGAAGCGTCGGAGCAGAACGAGTTGGAGAAGCTCTAGCAAGAAGCGATAGTGAAGGATTAGGTCTACTAGGGAGCGAAGAAGGCCGTAGAGGACTAAGAACGACGTTTCCCTGCGAACTTAGGCCTAAAGTGCTCAATCGAAGACTGCTTAGCAGACGGCGGAGTCCTGTTTTACTGAGGGCGCAAGTGGGTGCTAGACAACGACGAATTGCGAACGGCAATCATTAGCGGCGCACACGACTCATTAGTCACTGGCCACCTAGGACGCGAGCTAACGTACAAGATACTCGCAAGGGACTACTTCTAGCCAGGCATGACCAACTCGATCTGGAGATATGTTAGAAACTGCGACGCTTGTGGACGGAGCAAGTCCTGGAGAGAGGGCACGCAAGGCCTTCTAAAACCACTGCCAATACCCACCCAGATCTGGAAGGAGATCTCCATGGATTTCGTCGAAGGGCTACCAGAGAGTGAGGGCATGACTAGCTTGATGGTAATCACTGATCGGCTTAGTAAGGGTGCGATTTTCGTACCGCTCCCAGATACAAAGACAGAAACCGTCGTTCGAAAGTTCATCGAACGTGTAGTCGCATATCACTAGCTACCAGACGCTATTACCTCTGATAGAGGCAGCCAGTTTGTAAGTGCACTATAGACAAGACTATGCGAGCTTCTGAAGATCAAACAGAGACTGTCGACAGCCTACCACCCACAGACGGACGGTGCAACAGAAAGGATGAACAGCGTCTAGGAGACCTACATCCGAACGTTCACGAACTAGGCTTAGAATGACTAGGCACAGCTCTGCCTAATGGCCCAGATCGCGATCAATGGTAGAAACGCAACGTCGACCGGAATGTCACCGTTCTTCTTACAGCATGGGCACGAAGTGGAGCCGCTGCAGCTAGAGCTAGACAATGAAAGGCAACAGCGGAAACCAGCCGAACAGCTTTTGGATGAGCAGAAGGCAGCAGAGATCGCGGTTAAGCTACAACAAGCCGTAGAACTAGCCCAAGCAGGCATAGCAGTTGCTCAACAAGAACAAGAGAGACAGGCGAACAAGACTCGGAGAGAAGCGCAGAGCTACCGAGTAGGCGACAAGGTATGGCTGAAGCTCGATCAGCAGTACAGCACAGGGCGAAGCTCTAAGAAGCTCGACTGGAAGAACGCTAAGTACACA